TGCATTTATTTTTAAAGGGAGGAAAAACACCATCTTTGGAAGTGTATCTCTATAGACATCCTTATAGTGAAAATATGTACAATACACATTCTATGTAACTGAAGATGAATGATTAACTGTTCAGGTGCAAATTTCTTATGGTAGGAGTTGATGCTTGGTTCAAAAACAAGAAAACACAGCAGCTGAGTTAACTGTTAAGTCACTGTATAAAATAAATATAGAAATTCATAAAACATGAGCTTCAGTGCTTTTGAACACATCAATCTTATCAACACTTAAAATGCAATTAGCTGGCCAGTCTAAAGACAAGAGGGCTGTGTGTCATTTCCTTATTTCCAATATTGGAAGACAGACATGCTTTGATCATATCACTGCTTTGTTGAAAAAGCAACCTGAAGTAGGGCTTCTTATGTTTGGCTTATCACAGCTAATACAATTTTTATAAAGCTTTAAGAACCTTTAAATAAATGTATTTTAATGCCTAGTTAATGACATTGGAACACCTTTATAAAAATCCATAAAAGAAAAATAATAATCACAGTTATGTTGTCATGTCCCATGCAATATTCGGAGCATACTTACACTAAGAATGTACTCCTTGTTTTTCTGAAATCCCACTTTAACAGGGTGTGTTGCATTTTATCTGGCAACCCTTGTTTATCATCCTTGCCACACTGTGGTGTGCTATGAAAAGCATGCAAAGCTGGATCCTATTTCGAGGTTCAAGAACAAGTGCTGGAGTTTCTGAGCTCACTCCATCTGCCAACTTTAAAACTCTGGCACATCAGAAGACCAGGAACTCTTCTTGTAACAGAAGTAGAATGCATTTCCAATTAGTCATTTCCGTTTCTTAAAGAGAGAGAGAGACCCTACCCACTTGAAAAAAAGGTTACAAGCTGGCAAGTAAGAAAAAGAAAAATCTGGAACAAGCAGGAGGGGAAATTTTATCAGGAAGTAACTGAGTTGGGCGTAGATAAGTTTGAGACAAGAAAATGAAACACTTAGCTTAATCAGATTCCTAGGAATCAGAAATTGGAGATGAAGGGAGAGAAAATGAAAATAGGACATAAAGAAACATTTTCCATGTTTCCTTAAGGTTGCTTTTTTTTTTTTTTAATTCCTGATGATCAGAAAGTTAGACATTTTATGGGAGAGAAATTTCCTGAGATATCATACCTCTTTCTGAAGCTCTATTTAATAGTTCGTCCAGCAGAATCTAATAGTTTTCCTTTTTTCTTCGGCTAATTCACACCTCCAGGTGCTTCCTGCTCCTCTGTATCCTATAAGATGAGCTCCCACAGATCCACACCTCTAACTCCAATAACATTGCCCACAACCATATGAAAACCCACCTGGGATGCTGCATGACCAGGGTAGACTTTCTGCTTGCTAGCTCTATCTTAGCATTTCCCAGGGTGTTCTGTAAGCCCCTGGGTCTGCTAGGAAATGCAGATGCCTTGGCTCCTGCTGGTGTCTCCTCACTGAGATTCTGCATTTCAATTTGCTTCCTGGTGACTATAATCTCAGTACATGTGGAATTCACAGGCTCATAGGGTTTGTGGCTCAAGGCTTGGGGTGTTGTTTGTTTGGATGAAAGAGGTATAAACAGTGGGGTTGCTTTTGGTTTAGATTTGGATTTTGCTTTTGGATTCTGTATTTGAGGAGAAGGAAGGGTATCACAGATTTTATTTATATGAAAAGGAGAATTATAAGTCTTGCTGATGGTAATAGTAGGACAATCATGAATGTTGCTTTAAGTTGATTGATTTTTTTTTAGAACACATTGGGACTTTTCAGAAAAGGTAAGCATTGAGCCATAATAAACAACAAAAAATTAGATTTTTAAAGAGGTAAATTTGTCAAAATGTAAGAAAAAGAAGACAAATGAAATCTTGTAATTTATATCACAACATAAAGGAAAATTATACATCTTTAGCCCAAGTTTCTGAAGGTTAGTCCTAACCTTTGAGTTTTATGTATAGAAAGTTTTTTTACTGCTTTTTCTGAGTTACAGATGAATAGTTGGTCTGTTTTGGACAGGGCAGTATTTTTTTTTTTTAGTAATCACCCTCATAGTTGAAGGTGAATGGTAAATCATTCTGATTGTCTTTTTCTTGGTAAGAAATGGATCCATTTGATCTGAGGCTGCTCAGAATCAGGGAATGCTTAGGGGAACAGGAGAAGGAAATCTGCAAGATATAAAGCATGGAATTAATCTACATCATGTTGAGAAAACACTTGATTTTCTAAATTAAGAAAGAGAAGAGCAAAATATTCAGCCCATTTAATACAGCCTTTAAAAGATCATTTAACTCTGTCACATCAAGTACTTTTAGGAAGTGGATTTCAAAGTGTGCCCTCCTTAAGGAGTGAATGCACAAGATTCACGCAATCCCTCTTTACTCACCCTTAACCTGATCCCAACCCCAACCCTACCCCCAGACAGACACACTCACTCTGCTTCAATATTTTTGCAGTGGTAGCTCCAGAGGGGTCCCAG